AGCGCACAGACATACATGCAGGTAAACATTCATATACACAAAATAAAAACAAATAAATCTTTTGTTAAAGATTCAGGACATGGGTGACCCTCCTTCCTCTTGCTAAGGGGTTTTTGTTCACACCATTTTTTTTTTTTATTTCACAGACTCAGATTTTTCAAGTCCCAAATGGAAATCTCAACCTTTCTCCCACCTTCCACCCTTAGCATTCTTCTCCACCTGGCCTGGTAGTACCCCTCCTCCTCATCTTCAGACGCCACCATGACAGCATTCTTCATTTCTCCCTTTCCTGGCCCCACCCCAACCCCCCACAAATCTGCCTCTCAGATCTGACCAGAGCTGGGCCCTTCCTCACCACCTCCTCACCGACTTGGCTTCTTCTAGTGGTTTTCCTGTCTTCTGTGCCCACCCATCCCCAGCCCTCTCTTTGTTGGGAACACCCCATTCCTCCCCAGACCAAGCACTGGCTCCTTCCCTGGCTCCTTCAGGCTGGCCCTTCTTCCTTGTCGTCCTCTTAGAATTTAGATGCTTCTTGGATTCATCAGCTGCCATAATATGTGACATCAACTTCATTCACTTTATTTAAAAAAAAAAAAAAAAACTATGTCTCTTCCTATTAGAATATAAGCTTTGCCGGGCGGTGGTGGCGCACGCCTTTAATCCCAGCACTCGGGAGGCAGAGCCAGGCGGATCTCTGTGAGTTGGAGGCCAGCCTGGTCTACAGAGTGAGTTCCAGGAAAGGCGCAAAGCTACACAGAGAAACCCTGTCTCAAAAAACCAAAATATATATAAGCTTCACAAAAATATGGATTTCAGTAATATTTTGTTCATGGTTATAGCTTTGGTATCTTAAAAATTACCTATAGAGTAGGCATTTAATACATATTTAACAAATGAAAGCAGCTGTTCCAGTGCATACCTGCCTGCTTTCTCCCCCTCTCCATCAGTTCCCTTTCCCTCTTCTCCTGAGACACCCCCTTCAACTCCACCCTTTCCCAGCACCAGTGGACCCCCTCCTCTGCTCATACCACCCCAGTGTCCAGCGTGCCTCAGATCTTCCCCCACACAGAGGAGTCCTGTAGGATCTCATGGTGCTAAAAGAAGTGAAGAAAGTCCCAACACTGTTACTAAGTCCTGTGGTTTCAATTTTAAAGACATACTCTGTAGTAATTAATAATACGTTAACAAAAACATAGCCCAACGGTGCAACGTTTTAAACAGTGTTAAAAAGGCAGAAACTGGATTTCAGGGCTTGAAGGATAGAGCCATTTAGTACAGTGCCAAGCCCCCGGGGGGGCTTCCAATAAATCTAAATTGATGATGATGGAGAGCAGGCTCCCCGCTCCTCGATCCGGCAGAGCCCTCCTGAGATCATCTCATCCATCCCTCTGTCTTCAGACAGATCCAGAAACTCCAGCCCACACAAGCAGCCCGCCCTCGGTGCCGCTTTTAAAGCCGGCTGAGGAGCGAGGGTTCATGGCCTCTCTCCGTTTCTCGATCCCGGTGGGACACTGAGTGGCAGGGGCATGAGTGTCTGTCTGTGCCTTTATGATCGTGACATTGAAGACTCTGATAAGCTACCTCTAGACCGTGGGTGGGGGTGGGGTAGCTGAGAGGAACACACAACCACTGGCCTCAGAGGACAGCTTTTGGAACAATGAAGGGCCCCGAAAGAGGGGAGACCGAAGGAAGGGGAGAAGCAGGCAGGAAGGGGAATAAAGCCAGCGGGATTCAGAAGTGGCAGAAAATTAAATGATGAACCAGACAAAGTGAAAGGCTGAGTTCCATACAGAGACAAGGCAAACGGGGGGCGGGGTGGGTGGGGGGCGATGACAAATTGAACAGTACCATTTCCACCCTCCGCCCCCAACCCCCAGGACAGACACATCTGCTGCTGTCACTTGCTCTTTGCTCGACCAGCAGAGGGCACACTGAGAACCTGGATGGAGTCAGGGACCGGGAATGAGTGAGCTACTCAGGTACCCGTGGAAGAAGACAGGCCTTGGCAGGCAGCAAGTTCACTCAGCTTACCATTTCCACATAACTTAGTTAAAAAGAAATGCAGGGCGCTGG